TAGCTCACTTGTTTGAAAACGTTGCTATAGACTATACTGTAATATTTTTACTGAATTCCTACTCTTACTGAAGTACAATAGTATTCTATTATAATAACTGAGTTTGTGAACTGTTAACCAGAGCCGGATTAAGGATCAGAGCCGCCCTGGAGCAATATATATTTAATAGGTATTTCTTATCAAAAAGTCCTTAAAATAATATATGTATTTCATGTAATATAATATATTTATATGAATCTGTTAAACGATTTAATAAAAATACAACTAGTACCTTATATTATTACGTAAATAACTATACTACAAGCTTAAAACGCCAAATTATTAAAATCTTTAATTCATACATAATATACACACTCATTATAGTGATTAAAGTAAATACTTAAAATACTGTATAATAATATAATAATTTAAAAAAAAAAATCAAATACTTATGTTTAACAATATGTTTTTTCCTCAATTTGACTGTAGCAAATTTATTAACAAGTTCCTCCCACTTAATTTCTCTAACTATTTCATACTCGATGCACAGTATTGACAAATCTGACATTTTCTCTTGGTCTAAAGATGATCTTAAATAATTTTTTATTCTTTTCAAAACTGAAAACGAACGTTCGCCGCTAGCATTTGAAGATGGTAGAATACAGATAATTCTTAAAATAATTTCTATGTTAGGAAATGATGCTTCTAATGATGATGTTATTAAAGTTTTATGCAATGCAATAAATGATTTCTTATTTTCAGCTGAAATATTTGCCATAATACTTTTAAATTGTATTAATTCTTCTCCCAAGTCACTTTCTAAATCTATATTATAAAATTCAACTAGGTTGCTACTTTTTTTTCGAATTTTATCTTATGATTCGTTTTCAATATTTAATAAAAATCCAAATTTATTATTTAATTCAGTATAACTTTCCATTCTCCTATTTAATTCAAAAATTAATCTGTCAATAATTACTAAAAATGTTTCATTTTTCATTTTTTCACTTCCCATAAAAATAACGTCCAAAGTGTTCGTATCATCATCTAATAATACTGGTATAATTTTTTTTCTTGAAGTTTCCCAAACAAATGTCTCACAACCACTTTGAGATTTTGCTTCTTCTAAAAATGTATAGAAAGAATTTCGAATTTCTTCAATATAATCCTTCAATGAAGTATATAATGAAATTACATTAGATAAATCAATATTTTCTAACTGAAGTGCTTTCGAAGTTGCTTCAAAACGTTTTAAAATTGGATACCACATGCATAACATAAATGAAAATTCCAAAATACTCATTTTTTTATAAATAGATTTTGCCTCATGACATACTGCTGGTCATTGATTTTTATCTGAGTATATTACTTCTAGAACATTTAAGATTTCTTTGTATCCGATATTTAGGGATTTGCATACATCATACCTCGATGACCACCTAGTTTTACATAAATTTTTGATACTTAACGAACCTTCAATTGTATTTAGATATTTTTCTAAAAGTTCCCAACGACTTGTTGAGCTAAAAAAAAAAATTAAAAACCATCTGTGTGTTGAAAAAAAAACCGAGTCCCTTCACTGGTAGCTTCAGCAGCGTTTGACCCTACCAAATTCAACGAATGCGCTGCACACGGTACAAACAACGCTTGTTTAGATATTCGTTTAATACGAGCCTGTAATCCATTGTATATGCCTGACATATTTGACGCGTTGTCATAGGATTGCCCTCTACAATTTTTAAAATTAATATCTAAATCTGTAAAATGTTGAATTAAAGCAGTTTCCATATCCTCACCTTCGTGACCGACTGATTTAAGGAATCCCACAAATCTTTCAATGATAGAACTATTATCTGTTATATATCTTATAATAATGGTCAATTGGTCTACTTTGGTATTATCAGGGGTCGAATCAACAATGATTGAAAAGTATTTTGATTTTTTGATTTGAATTACAATGTTATCAATAACTGTTTTGCTCATTAATGATATAAATTCATCGCATATTGTGGATGACAAGTAAGACACATTACCACGGCCTTTATTTCCGTGGTTCGATATATGATTTCCAAGGAATGGATCGAATTTAGAAATGAGCTCTAAGCATCCTAGATAATTTCCATTGTGTTTTGAACCAAAATTTTCATTTTCTCCACGAAAAGCAAGCCCTCTTTCTGATAAAAATTGTATTGTCGAAACTACGCGATGTAATACATTTTTCCAATAATTAATTTCGTTACTAACCTGTTCTTGCAAAGCATTATCTATAACCTCAGTATTTTTAGCGGTTCTTAAAAACCACTTACGGACACATGTACTATGAGATAAACTTTTTTCGTGTTCTGCAACTAAATGGTGACACTTTTGCCAATTTGTAAATCCTACAGATGGATCACTAAATACTTGTTTTTTAGTTGCAAAAATAAGACATTGAAAACAAAACAAGGCATTTTTTGATTTCGAATAAAGAAGCCAAGATCTATTTTTACATTCACCATTAAGAAGACGTCTTTCAAATATATTACTTGGAAGTTTTCTTAATTGTTTGCCATACAATCGTTTAGTATTTTTAAAAATCGATATGGTCCCTAATTTCAAATGGTGGATTTTTTAACAAATAATTTATTATTTCAGGAGAAGTAAGATTCCATTCAGCTGGATCTGAACTTGGTATAGTGACGGAACTCTCAAATAATGATTTATCATAATTACTGCTATTGCCCTTTAAACAATTATTTTCGACAACATTTTCAAGTAAAGAATCTGTTTTATCACAACTTTGTACGATAGAATTATCTACCGATTCGTCAACATTTATTATTGTTTGAGTATTTACACTTTCAATTTCAATATTAAGTGGAGAAGTCTACAAAAACAAAACAAAAAAAATGAGATGAAAAATCGTAATCTGAGTTGTAATTTTGAATTTAAACGTGTATAAAAAAAATTTTTTTGATTAATCCTTATTTGATTAAGATAATATCAGATTAGCTTACCTTTTTAAAAAAACTGTCCAATTTTTGACATTGTTCAATAACATCTTTATTTTTTTTATTTTTTTCGATTGCCTTTTTACGATATTCACTACCACTTAATTTAATTCTTTTAGCACTCATCTTTAAACAACTATTATCGTCAATTGCGAACTTTCAACACTAACACTGTTGTAGTGATAACCGATGACCGAGTACTGACTTATTTGTAATTTTATCCAGATATTCAGATATTATTATTGACATCATTATATAATATATATTACTTTATATATACCAGATACGGGCATACGGCGATACCTACATTTAATAGGCGCATGCATGTACGTATTTTAACAAAGATAAGACGATAACAAGCGTAGTCAACGACGCGACACAGGAAATCGATCAGACAAAACTGCAAAAGTCGTTTATTTATAACACAATTTTACAAAATTCTATGTAAACTGTGATTATTATTTATTACCACTGTAATAATGATTATATACACTATGCGCTAGTCCATCTTAATAATAATATTATTGACACATTATTTTACTATTTAGTACCATAGCTTATAATTTTATATTTTAAAATATAATATTACTCGATTTAACATTGAAAAAAAAAGTGCACGTATTTAATATTAGTATTACAAAAGTTATATGCCGCCCTGGAGCAAAAGCTCCTTTTGCACCTATGTTAATCCGGCTCTGCTGTTAACTATAATATATTTTGTGAACGAAAGGACCGAAGGAACGAATCATTTGAACTCGTTCCTTTTCCGGACCTGGAACGATAGGAACGATTCATAAAATGGAACGAAAAATCCTATCACTACAATATATACCTACAAAATATGATTGTCCCAACAACGATAAGCCGTGAATATTCCAGACCATTCTCGTATAATTAAAAATTATAAATATCAAATATTGAAACACATAATTTTTTATTTTGACGTTTACATTCTGTGGGGGTTTAAGCCACCCGATATCCGCCTAAACGATGCCTCAAACTATCTAATTGGTATTTTTAATGCTATTATAAATATATGTAGTAGCATTGATTAAATATACATATATATATATTATATATATTATATTCGTATGTATCTTTAATCAATGGTAGTAGGTACTACTATAGAATATACTTTTTTAGTGCTTATTATATATATATATAGTATATATTTAGTGCTTACAGGCATTTAAGAACTTTTATTCACTTCTACCACTTTTTCCAGCTATCACGATTTATTGCTGTTTCTATTGTTATTTTATATTGTCCTTGATCACTCTATCCACCCACCGTTGACGGAGTCTTCCTCTTAGCTCTTTTTTTCCAGGGTTCCTGACGAATACATTACGAATAAAACTCATTTTTTCATCATTGATTGATTGAGTATTAGATACTCGAACGTGAAAACCTCCTTCCGCCACTCTAGTACATGATCGTAGATTAGGTTATTTAATTTACTATATGATTTCATAATACAACGATACAGTGTAATGTGTATTTATAGTTTATCAAAATAGTCGAAACAATGGATACAATTGAAATTTTAAATTATAATACAAGTATTAAAATATTATTTTTATACATTCATACTGATTTTTATTAATCTCGTTCGTTTTAATTGGCTCATTGATTTCTCACAACCTCGTAATGAAGCAATTATAATATTATCAGCGATTTCGGCGCCCGAACGAAGTTCACGACCCGAAAATTTACAATTGAAATTCAAATAAATGCCATTATCACGTCGAGCGTAATTTCGAATTTTTGATATTTTATTTTATTACAATTGCATTAATATTTTATCGAACACATTATTTTTACAATATTACGACCTACTAGTGAGCGCAGTTGTTTCTAGATTTCTCGAGCTGTTTTTTAAAATTGTTTAGTCTGGAAAATATAATAAATTAAACAAAAAAACAAAAATAAATGAACGAAATTATTATAATAACGCAATATGCTTAGCGTTTAGTTAACTGTTTGGCCGCCAGGTTACGCGACGATCACCATTCGTTTCGGTTGAGACTTGAACATTGCGGCCTCTGATTATATTGTTGATTTTCCATAAAAATAGATACAACTTTGTTACTTGTACGGTATTTCCTTTTGTGATGTGATCTCGTGATCCCTCTCTGTTAGACGGTCCTATAACAATTCATTATAAATAACCGTTTCTAGTAACTCGTTTTGAAGTTTAAACGTCGCAATGGAAGAACACGTAAATTCCCTCGCGCTTCAATACGATTTGTTCGTTAACAGCACACTTAAAATGTTGGATACCGCGACCGAGAGAGGTAAGTCGTGTACACAATGGATACTAAGATTAGTGATTTGACGACGATGCGTGGTATCTGAAAAAGTTATTGGTTTTTAGACGTGGGTCGGGTTTTTTTTTTAATTTTTTTATTTAACCAAAATTTCCGTATATATGCAAACAACGAAAGTTTCAAAATGCAACAACATCGTTGTGAAAATGTAATCTAGGTAGACATTTTCTGTGACTACCACCACTGTAGAAAACGGTAGGTACGATTTGCGTTATGGTATTTGTGATATCACCGCCCCCAAAAAATAGTGTCGTGATCCAATTTTTTTTATTTTTGAGTTAGTAACGCCATTTTAGCCCATATTTTTCCATGTTAACCATGAAATAGTATCTCAACTATAACCAAAGGCATTGTAAAACGGTGTTGTGTATAAATACTGAAACGATGATTTCCGGTGAAAAAAGTTGTAACTTGATTTGTTACTAAATTTGAACAAGATAACCAATGAAATCTATAGTAACTAGAATATTATTATTTTGGTTTTAGATTTTTGTCTACTTACCACATATAGTACATTAATGAGTAACCGTCACTCTGGCTTACTTTTGTAGGTTTTTGCTTAATCGTTCACAATTGATAACAACTAATAAACGTTACATAATTTATATGTGGACTTTATATATTTTATATCTTAGGTAGAAAACTCACAATTCAATTGGAAAACATCAATTGATAACAATGTAATTAAATGGAATATTGTGAAAGAAATAACTACATCATATAAAAAATACCTCAAATATAATTAAAATTAAGTACAATTTAAGTAGTACAACAAATATTATTATCATTAACGAGTGGAGCCGGTAGGCGTACCGGCGAAGTCCTAAAATTTTAAAAATTGAAGTTCCGTTTTCTTCGGGGAAAAAAAAATGCAACAATTTTTAGTTACGATTGGATATTAGAACTAGGTAGTTTCTGCGTCGGGCTACCAGCTTTAAATCGGACTCGGTAATTTCGCCGCCAGGCTATTCGCTGAAATTGTTTCGTCGCGACTGTTTCTCCGACGAACTATTCGCTGCGATCGTTTCTCCGCTATCCTATTTTTTTTCGTATCGCATCAATAAAAAAAATTTTGGTTGGCCATACAATTTTAAAATGTTGATACAATGTTTTTCACACATTATCTTAAAAAAATAGGATAACAGAGAAACGATCGCGGTAAAATGAAAGGCGACAAAATGAATGACGGCGAAACGAACTAGACTCCTTTAAACGGCACAGTCCTATTTTTTATTTCTTTGTCATATTGTCCCCCTGGAAATCTTAGATAACTGACAAAAATCCAAAAATATTGAGAGGAAAAAAATATGTAATTGCATAGAAATCCGCGCTTTAATTATTGCATAGTGAACGGTAATTTGTTACGACGACGAATTCAAGGGGCTGTTTGTGGTGTATCGGGATATTTTTTCAGTGTAACAGTAATGGTTTATCGTTTTTTTTTACTTAGACGCTTACCTTATAAAAAAAAATGTTCATAATAAAAATGAGTTACTTATAAATAAGTGTAATTAATTACATTTTTTTGTTGCTTAAAACCAAAATAGTATTCGATTTTATTAATAATTATTAATAAAAAAAAAAAAAAAATCAATCCAAATATATGGTCATCTTAGTTATTAACCATTGGAGTATGAAGTAAATTTCATTGCACAGGAATATTGTCCATTTATAAGCGTGTCTACACCATGTGATTGAAAATTCGTATAACCCAAAAACAAATGATTTTCGCCAAATTTTTTTTTCATATCATTTTTAAGACGTTAAAATAGCAAGGTTTTTACAATAAAAAAAAATAAAAATAAGGGTGTCTAGTATTGTAACAAAGTTCCTTATTTTATTTCTAATATTGTTTTTACATATTTCTTCTTCTTCTTCTCCTTCTTAACCTTTCTCCCAACTATTCGGGGTCAGCCACCCTTGTCCTAAAACTCCATTCATCTCGATTTTCTTTATCCCCTATACACACACTAATGGCCCTCATATCATTCTCAATCATATCCAACCATCTCTTTTTTGGTCTTCCTCTTCTTCTTTTCCCTTCAAAATAATATTGTTTTTTCATTAATATTATTAAGTGTTATATCATATTGTATTTTAATATTCATTTGACCAGTTGTTTTATTTCAATTAAAGTTTGATATGATTACTACCTAGTTTAATTTGATTTATTAGCAACGACGGTTATTACTAAGTTAGACTTAAGTCTTGATTAATTTTTTTTATTCTTATTTTTTCATTGAAAACAGTCATAACTCATACATTTTTTTAACACATTCTTTATGGTTAAAAATATTCCCTGAAAATTAAATAAGACTTATTCACTTGACGGATTTTAAGAAAATTCCTAAAAAAAGATAAAAATAATTTTTAAATTTATTATTTTTGAATGTTTATATTATATTTTCTGAACATTTTGTAAAAGTGAGTTACAATACTCTTTGTTGGGGGCAGATTTATCTGATTTTGAAAGTACTTTTTATTCTCACCAATTATTTATTACTTATACAAATTTATTTGCTTCTTATTTATAATTTCGTAGTTCAAGAACATAGGTGTATTAAAACAATTTTTGGACATCATATATATAAATTGGATAATTTTTTAAATGGTTTTTTTATTGAACCATATGGTTTCAATAATTGTGTTTACCTTTGTACTTCTACAATTAAATATGTATATTATTTTATTATTACTGTTAAACAAATTTGAACTAAATAATTTGAATTAATAAGAATTAAGAATTTGATAATTATAATTATTAAATATTTAGAATATTCTCAATTGGTTACAAAATTGTTAGTTAACTGTACTTAATTTCATGTTATTGTTTACTAGATTATATGCTAAAATTAAAAGTCATTGATGAATTAGCACATCAAATTAATGAAAGTGAAAATGACAAAAAAACTATCAAAAATACATTAGAAGCTGTTCAAGATGAATGTACTAAATTGACATATAAACTTAAAACTTCTGCTCGCCTATTAGATGAAGTTCAAGTAGAAAAACTAAAACTTGAAGTTGAAAAAGAATCTTTGGTTTGCATAATATTTAAATTAGTATCATTAATTGTGTATCAATATTAAATAAGTCAAATATAGTTATAAATATATTCTTAAAATGGTTCCTACTATAGATTTTATTTTTTAAATTTTTATTTTAGAAATCTCAAATAAAACAATTATGTTCTGTTTTAAAAAAACCTGATGATAAAACTTTTATTCAATATTCACAAAATAATCATTCAGATTGTGCCCTAGATGGAAAAAGGAATCTTAATAACACTGGTAAATTATATCATTTATTTAATTGATATTTTTAGTTTTAATTCTCATAGTTTTACATAGGTATCAATAATTTTAATATTTCAATATTAAATATTTAAAATTAAAGTTTTCTTTTCTTAAGATTTTTTACTACAATTATTTGTTAAATGTTAACAGTAGCTAACATTTGAATAACATAATTATATTATATCTATATAATATTTTATTTTATTTTTCAGATGCCTTGTTATCAGATATAAGCTATAGTTATTCTGAAGATAGTTCATATGAAAATGTTATAAAAAATGTCAAACATAATTATATACCATTAGTCAATGTACCAAAATCTCCTTCTTCAAATACTGGCGTTAACACAAAAACATGTGAGGTAATTAAATAATTTTATTCAATTTTTTAATGGTTTTATTTGTTGAAAATATATCATTTTGTATTTTACTTATAATTTAAAATATATTATACATATATATATATATATATATATATATTTATTTTTTCTTTATTTTAGATAAAAAATGTAAATGTTAATGGTGGAAAAATTATTGCTACAACTACTTTGACTATGGATTTAGATTCTATTAATGCAAAATCACTAATTAAAACTCTTCCAACATTAAATTCAAAAGACACATTGCTAACACCATTAAGTGGTAAACATTAATTTACACTATATTTTGCATGTTACTATTTATTTATCAACTATTTTTAGATTCAGTAGAATCATTTTCCAGTGACTCTGAAAAAAATTATAAATCTATAAATGATAATAAAATTGACCAAAGTATTGAAAAGAAACACAATTTTGTTCAAAAAATGATTGTTATTCCTGAAATTTGTGGACAATGCCTTAAGAAGTTAGATGATAACCTATTAATATGTTCTTATTATTTTTATAAAATATTTTATTTGTGTATATAATTTTCAGAATAAAATTTAATACCTACATGGTAAAATGTCTTGACTGTAAAACAATTGCACATTTAGAATGTAAAGATTTCATTCCAGTTTTTTGTACTTTTGATGAAAACAAAAGCAATGCTTTAAATGTAGGTTAATTATAAATTAATCCTTAACAAATTTTACAATGTATTTTTTTTTTTATCTATAGTGTGGTGTCCCACCTTTAATTGTTTACTGCATCAATGAAATTGAAAGAAGAGGAATGGGTACTTATGGATTATATAGAGTATCAGGTTCTGAAAAAGAAGTGAAAATTTTAAGAGACAAGTTTCGTAAAGGTGTTCCTAATTTAAATGATGTTGATATTCATGTTCTATGTAGTTGTCTTAAGGACTTCATACGCACACAAAAAAATCATCTTATAATGCCAAGTGCTTTATCTAAATTGACTGATGCATTGAAAGCAAATGATGTATCTGATTCCCTTAGACAAGGTGTACTTGAATTGCCAGTTTCTAATCGCAAAATACTTGCCTTTCTTATTCTCCATTTGCAAAAGTATATTTTTATATTAAAGAAAATATTAATTTTTTAAATATTAATTTAAAATGAATTTTTGTTTTATAGAGTTGCTAGTTCATCAAAATGCTCTATGGATTATAATTGTCTTGCTATAGTTTTTGGGCCTACAATTGTAGGTCTTTCAAGTACTAATTTGGATGATTTGCAAATTAAGTCTGAAATTGTTTCTGAAGTAAATTAATTAATTTCAATTATTTTTAAAAATACAATATTTTTTGAAAACTTAGTTATACATGTAAATTTAAATATAAAATTACATTTTAGTTAGTAATAAATCAAGGGTTTAAATGTTAAACCTAACTATTGAGCTATCTCAAAGTTTAGTTTTAAACCCAAACAATTATTAGATTTAGAAATATATATGTTACTAAGTAGGTATCTGTATTTATATTATTTTTACTAATATATACTAACCATTATAACTATGCACATAAATACTTATTATTGCTTAAAGTTTTTAAAAACTATCACTTTATTAGGTTTTAATAGAACTACTGAAATTGCATCAAAGTTTTTGGCATAGTTTTATAAAAGCTGATTTTGCATCATCTGAAGAATTATTGAATAGTACTCCAGCTCGAAGTCAACATCAAACACCAATATCATCCAATAAATTCTTTTCATCTGGGTAAATATTTATATAAAAGTTATTTTAATTTTTGTTCAATAAACTTTTTCTTTTTTAATAGAATAAAAAGGCGAATATTAAGCTCTCCGAAAAAAATGAAAATTTCAAAACCGGATGAATTTGAAAACAATTGAATTCAGTACTTAATGAAATAAGTATAAGTGTCAGTAATAATGCCAATTAATATAGGTACTATTTTTATGTGTTTTTATTTTCTTAATCATCTTTAAAGTATTTGACTGAAGAATTTTTAAAAAAGGCTAGTTGAGCATTTGTTATATATTTTTTTATCTTACAAATATCTTATTTGTATTGTTTTCTTTTAATTTACATATATTATACATGATTATATATGACAAATAATTTATTTATTTCTGTGCATCAGTTTAACATAGAAATTCTTTTGTCTTTTCAGTAATTTGTTTTCATTATAATAGTAATGTTATAATTGTATTATTTTTGTGATTGTTATTATATTTTTAATTTTTACATACTAAAGTAATATTAAGATAATCTGTAAAAAGAAATGTTTCTTTTTTTACAGACTGATAGCACCAGCTTTTTTTTATTAATTAGTTAAACTTTTTTACAAAATATGTAATAGATAATTAAGTAGTCAAATTTTTTATACTATCATTATCATACATATTGTATTAATGTAAATATTTATTGAATATAAAGAGAGAAAAATTCAAAAATAGTAGAATTACAATTTTTATTGGAGAGGAACTTAATTTGCACCTGTTTATTTTCAACATTTTAATTTAATAAAGACCTTGCCAAATAGAATGCTTGTAAAAGCTGTTGCGTGTTGCGCTGTAACACGTAAACACATTGTAACACCAATTACAAATCTAATAATTTTTGTCACCGTACATAATATACATAATTACGCTCTGTGTTCGCTTTTTGTTTGCTTTGGAAATAATTAACCGTTTTTTACGTTTTTAAGCTCGTTAAGTTTATAAAAAGTGCGCGGATGACTGGTGTCGTTGTTGAGTCAGTCTTCCTAATATTTCTTCACTTAAGGCGATTGGAAGCAGCGTATTTATTTCACGTTTTAGACCAAAAAGCCTGACAAGATTACGCATACTTAAAATGATCATATTTTAATTCTGTAAAAAGATTTGAGTTGATCGACCTTTTTTCTAGGTTATTGTGGAAATCAATTTTTGATATTTTTTTTAAAATTGTTTTTAAATCTTATTTGAGTTTCTAAATTTTTTTTTAATTTTTAGATTAACTTAAGTGTCTTTTTTAAGAATGTTAAACAGTTATTCTAAAATTGACTTCCATAAAAACCTAAAAAACACAACGACAAGTACAAATATTTTTACAGAATTAAAATACGATCATTTTGAGTTGACGTATTTTTGTCAGGCTTTTAGGTCTACATCGATTGAAATTAGTTTCTTTGTCGGAACAAAATATTTTATTTCATCAAATGTAAAGACATGTGCATGCGCGTGCGGGCCATAAATTGTTTCCCGGAAACGTTTGATACCGGCGCGCAACGCGAGCCGCCAGCGTACCTATATATAATTCCTAAATAGACCTATAATGAATTCAAATGAATTGCAATATATTTATAATTTGGTATGTTTACTGTAATGATTTTACACAATATATAGTCGTTGCCAGATAAATTGAGACGGCGGCGGCGGCGCTTTTCATTAAGTGTAGCCCAAACTAGTCGCTGGTAGTTTGGTGCTAAGGTCTCACAGTCAGCTACGACGCGCGCAGTAACCAGTTCGAACCCGGTTCAGTGCAAAAAATTATTTGCAGAATTTTCTGTACTCTCCCGTTCTGGTTGCCCTACACTGCTAAAAACAACTAACCTAACCCGGTGTGTTTTGACCGCGCAAGCACTTCAGTCGTATCAACAATATTTGTTTATTATAAATGTATAAAAAAAAATGACTCGGCTAACCAATGACAATATTAATTATTAATAGATCTCGACATTATGGAATATACTAATAGAGATGGATATTTACTCATTCGTGCCAGTATTGTGTTCGTGTTCATTTGTACTGAAAACATACGCTATATAATAAATATTTTTTTTTATAATGAGTTCAAAAATTAAAAATCGTAAAGCTAACAGTCAAGCTAGGGAAATAATTTGGAATGTTTTTAATTATTTTAAAGATAAAAATGAATACATGGCTAACTGTAGGTTGTATACGATGACTGCAGAAGCTACTGGTTATTATACGATGTCAGTTAAACGTATTGTGTATGAAGGTAAGAAAAACATGGATTTAACTGGAAATTCTACATTGGCTACATTTACCACTCCTGATAAAAAAAGGAATAATGTGACAAAAATTAAAGCTTTAGTTGACGATTTCGATAGATGTGCTTTAAAGCGAATCATCACAGATATGTATACGGTTGATAAAATTGTACCTACTGTTAAACTTATTTTTGAAAAACAAAAACAATTTATGAATTTGGGGAGTACTAGAACATTAAACAGAATAATTTCGGAAATGGGCTTCAAATTTCGTAAAACTGAAACTAATAGAAAATTGTTGATAGAAAAACATAATATACGTTTGAAAAGAATAGAATACTTAAAAAAAATACTTGATTTTCGTAGACAAGGTAGAAAAATAGTGTATACTGACGAAAGTTATGTATTATCATCACATGTTGCTAATAAATCATGGAGTTCCGTCGATGATGACAATACAGTGAAACAAAGTTTAAGTAAAGGAAAACGTTTAATAATTATTCATGCTGGAGGAGAAGAAGGTTTTGTTCCTAATGCTTTACTAACATGGGAAGCTCAAAGCTCTAGTGGTGATTACCACGATAATATGAATAAAGATAATTATTATAAATGGGTCACAGAAAAATTACTACCAAATTTAAGTAAAAATTCTGTTGTGGTATTGGATAATGCGACTTATCATTGTCATCAATCTAACCGTGCTCCAAGCTCAAATAGCTTAAAAAAAGACATGGTAAATTGGTTGACTGAAAATAATATAAGTTTTAATTCAACTATGTTTAAACCACAACTTTACGATATAATACGTAAACACAAACAAGTGCTTGTTAAATATTCTTTAGATGGTATATTAAGTAAAGAAGGCCATGATATTATTAGACTACCACCGTATCATCCGGATTTAAATCCCATTGAAATGATTTGGTCACAAGTAAAACAGTACATTGCAAAACAAAATCATAATGGTAGCATCAAAAAAATCGCAGAACTGTGTAAACAAAAAATGGAATCTATGGGTGATTCTGAGTGGGGAGCAGTTTGTGCAAACGTGAAAAAATTAGAAGAAGAAATGTGGAAAAATGAAAGTTTTATGGACATCGAAATGGATAAATTAACAGTAACGTACGGAGATGATACAACTAACGATAGTGATACAAGTACTGAAGATGAAGACGATGATTTGGGTGTAGCACCACTACAGCCATAACAAACTATTGTTATGTATATTAAAATGGTTATTTATAATATTATAATGCATATAGATGTTATTATTATTTCATCATATTATTATTAATATTATGTATTATTATTATTATTATTATTATTATTATTATTATTATATTAATTATATTATTTTACAATTTCTACTTTTTGTTCTTAAATAAAAGATTATTATCGAAATATTTGATTTTAAATTAATATCGTAAAATATTTTTTGTAACAATAGTTGGTTTATTGATGTATTTTCGGTAATAATATTGAAATACGGAGAACCACTGGTTTTCCGTTATCGCGCCGCCGCCGCCGTCTCAATTTATCTGGCAACGACTGTACCTACTGTACGATTATGCCCGAAGTTATCTATGTATTTAGTCGACACTTAGGGTCTTAACGCACTGCGGTATTTTCGCCGTCGGGTCCGAACGGTTTTACCGTTCGCGGATTTTACGACCCGCACCGCATTGCGATTTTTTACCGCTAATACAATAGGTGTTATCACTCAATTTTCGCACCTAAACTGGCTAAATATCAATTTCTAATTTCCATAAGAAAATTGAATATTGATAGTTGATAGTACAGTGGTTGGTTAACCAACTACTATGGTCTGTGATCTACTGTATTTACTATATTTCACTATATCTAATACTGTAAATTTAAATTTTTTATACCTACGTACCACGATTTGTACACAAACACCTAAATACATGTAAGTAAGTTATAAATTAAATTATTAGTTAATTTAATGCATAGTCCTACTTATTATATTACATTTAATTTATTTAGAATGGAGTTAGATGATTATGACAATTTATTTAAAGTGATTGCTGTCGCAGAAGCATTTGGTGAATTAGAAAAAAAATATAAAAATATGCAAAATTACAAAATTAACCGTTGACTATAGTCACAGTGGGTTCCTTCCCATCGAAACAATGTGTTTACTTTACGAACGGTACAACGGCAGCGCCGTCAAACCGCAGCATGTTGCGGCGACCGACGGCGGAGAACGGCGAAACCGTCGAGTGCGGTGCAGTCCGTCTAAATATAGCAGTTTGGTGTGAACGTAAAAACCGTTCGGGTAAAACCGTTCGGACCCGACGGCGAAAATACCGCAGTGCGTTCGGACCCTTAGTAGTTAGTACTTAACGGTGCTACATCTAAAGTTTAGTTTCAGTGCAGTATTAGTGTATTAGTATCAGTGCTTTAGATATTGATTATATTTTTATTATTCCAAGATCTCATAAAATAATGAATAACAAAGATTATAGATACGGGACGAAAAAACGTCGGTATTTAAGTAAAACAATTTTATCTAAAAAGCAAAAATTAAAAAATTTTATTAAAACAAAAGAAAACCCAATAATTGATCACCAGGTTAGTACAAAAGTACCTTAATAATTTGGTATATTTTAATTCGATTAACTTTCATGAACATATCATTATAAGCTATTTTATCAGGTTTCAGATTTAGGCGCACCGGTTGCTGTTGGTGATGAAATTATTTTTAGCAATTACTTACAAAAGTATGTATTATAAACTACAATAAGTTGTAAAAAATGAGGAATAATTTACATTATATTTGTATAACAGACATGATAATCGAACGCAGATTGAGGCTGAAAGAGAAAATATAAATTTTAATACTGTCGAAAAATCATTAAATAATATAATACCTGTCGAGTAAGTGTTGGAGTAATTTTATAAAATTGAAAATTAAAATTAAAAAATAATTTATAATTTTTAAAGGGTGAAATGTAGTGGTCGACGTGTAGTTGATATAATAATTTTATTTGATGCTATTAAAAATATTGACCACCACTCATTCTATTGTACTTTCAAAAACTTAATTTTGGTAAAAGAAATCAGAAATGGATTTTTTTCTGAATTTGTTTTTATGTGTAATTTTTGTAACAAACAAGAAATAATTACAAATGAAAATCGCGCTAGTATGCCTGTAAATTCGGCAATGGTAGCTACAATCGTAAATACTGGACAAGGGTATACACAACTAGACACATTTTCAGCTTTTTTAAATATGCCTAATATGAGTAATCCGTTATATCAAAAAATTCATAATGACTTAATTAAACACACCGAGAACACAGCTATAGAAGCAATGGAAATGGCTGGTAAAGAAGAGGCTAGACTTGCAGTGGAAGAAAATAACGTAGACGAAAATTGAATACCACTAATTACGGTTGTAGCAGACGTTACATGGTCTAAAAGGTCTTACAAAAGTAACTACAATGCCCTTTCTGGTGTAGTAAGTATTATTATTATATTATATTTATATTATCGTAAATAATTTTTTTAAATTTTTATAGGCTGAATTGAATTAATGTTTTTAGTGTAACTTAAAAAACAAATAGACGTAGATACTTAAAATTTTCACCTAATCTTTAAAGTTGCATTTTTAATACATGATAACATTTACAAAATATTTTTAATATTTTTTTAACAATTTATAGACATTTCAAATTTTTGTTTTTTGAAACTAGAAATTTTTCGCTAGCTAAAAAAAGCTTAAAAATAGTAATTTAAAGTTCTTCATAAATATTAAATTTACCTAATATAAAAAGTTAAGTGTAACTCTTCAAATATTTTTTATAAAGGGGTTAAGTAACGTTAAATTTGTCGAAATTACGTAAGATTTCGCAGTATTTTATGGTTAAAAATTTATAAAATATTCAATAAGTCGTTTTTAAAAATAATTTGTTGGTAATAAAATGTACATTTATATATCAATATTATTTAAATTGCATAAACAAAATACTACTACTAAATATACAATATATATATATATTTTTATACGATATTTATTCTAACACTTAAACTATTGAATACTAAAGAGGTAACAACAATATATGCATAACCTTTACTTATTACCTCCTGTGAGTACAATCTTCAAATATATTTGCATTGAATGTTGTATGAATGCTGTACATACATTTATGACAGAGAAAATTTAAAGATTTAGAAATGGTTGGTCAAAGTTTTCAATTTAACCCGATTTAATTACCGCCACTTCGTCATAGCTATTGACCCATTACTAGTGTCTACTCAAGTAGAGCTCTTTTTCGATTCAAATGATTTTATAATATCATCGAGTGATTTTCCTTTTGTTTCTGGCATTACGAATTGACCAAATAGTGCAGTGATAATACAAAATCCACCAAATATTGACCAAATATTTAACACTCCAAAAGTCGATGACATTGCTGGATATATTTTGCAGGTTATGAACACTACTACATATCCGAAAATATTAACTACTGCGCACATTTTACCTGAAATATAAAAATTATAGATTATTTGTGCTTATAGTTATTTTATTATTTTTATGTGAACAGAAATAATTTTGAATAAAATTAAAAATATATAATCTGCGATACACACAAAAGATATTTGCCATCTGTTATACACTTTTAATTATTATTTAATTATTAATTAATTCAACGCAAGTTGTACGGGTATATATAACTATAAATTATAATATTATATTTATGAACAACTAGTGTTTAATAGCACAGAATAGCACAAGCAAAACAGGCATTTTACCAAAAGAAACACCTATTAACGTTAAACACTGTTAGCTTAATCACCAGGAAAAATCTTATAAAGAGTTTTGTATGGAGTATATCTCTCTATGGGGCAGAAACATGAACGATATTAAAAGCGGAAAGAAAAAAGATTGAAGCATTTGAAACATGATGTTGGAGAAGAGCACTGAAAATTTCTTGGACAGAGAAAGTTAAAAATGAGGAAGTATACCTAAGAATGAACGAACAAAAAGCAATATGGACGACAATCAAAGAAAGGAGGAAAGAATGGATCGGACATATTATGAGAAATAATGAATGGATAACGACAATAATAGAAGGAAAAATAGAAGGAAAAGCTGGAAGAGGTAGACCAAGAACACCATTTATGAAACAGATCATAGACGATATAGGGGAAACCAACTATAAGGAACTAAAAGTAGCTGTAATGGATAGGGATAAGTGGAGAGCCATCAAAGTCATTTAACCAATCTAAAGATTAAAAAAAAAAGTGTTTAATAAATGTTGACCGCACTTGAATAAGATATTTATTATAATATATTTTCGATAATATTTAGATTTAAAACGTTATTGCCATATCACAAGGTTTCGAAACTTGTTCTCGGTGACTTTTACTTTCAATTATCTTTTCTTTATTCTATGGGTTAGTTAATTTTCGTGTCTCAGTATATGACCCATCATGTCATTTTCACCCATCATTTTTTCAATTAGTGCAGTGTTCAAAGTACGTTAAAACGATATTTATAATGCCTATTCCTAATTCAATATGGAGAGAAATCCATCCAATTGTTAATCATTTAATAGTTGGCAAATGGTCCCATTAACCGGAGTAGTGAGTCAAAAGACGATATTTTCTGTGAGTTAGTTAGCATACAAATCAGAAGAGCCTGTCTTGAGTCTATTATTGAATAAATAAATTAATTGTGAATCCAATAAGTTATGGCCACTATGTATTTACATTTTAAATCAAAAATTGAATAAGACATTTATTTGATTTTTAATTATTATACAGTATGTCCCATAAGTCCCATATCACCCTTAATATCTTCACAGGAAATCATTAGGTATATTTAAACGTGGTTTTTTTTTACAATACTTAGTATGGAAATTCTAATCGAAAGGCATAAAATTTAATTTTTTTTCTAAAAACATTTGTGATTTTGTATAGTTGGCACTTTACTATAGTATGGTAACTTTATAAAGTTCCGAATATTTTTTTTATGATTGTAAAAATTCAATAAAAAGTAAAAACAAAATATTCGTTAAAATGTACAGCACACCGAACAATTTGTATTGATTATTTATATCACCGTGCGTTATAAATAGTATAATTTTCAAAATACTTAATTTTTTTTTTTTTTTGATTTATTTAAAAGTATTTGAAAATTTTAATATTTTTTGTCTTTTTGTTTTTGTAAAATGTATGGTAAATTATTTTGATTAGAAAAAAAGTTTTGAAAATGTATTAAAAAATTGCTCATACGTACCTTTTACTCGTTAATAAAATAAATGTAGCAATGTTGACAATACTCGATAAAAATTACAAAAGTTCTAAACATTTTTGTAGTTGATAATTTGTAATATTTCCACGTTTAATATTTAAATTTTGATATATATTATATATCAGTATAATATAATATGATATATATATCAATATATATATCGTATTGTGGATATATCCACTCGTCGAAAGAGTACCTCCGGGATAGTAGTACCAGGAGTTTTGAGGAAAATTTTAAAAGATAGACGACTTAAATTACGGTAATGAGTTTTTATGAATAATTAACAAACCTATGTATAATAAATTATTTTTTTTTTAAAGATGTACAGTGACGAAGGCAATAGCTTTTAGAAAAGAAATGAATCTTAGTCACAATGAAAGAGTCGTTCTTTTAAAACATGATATTTTGAATTGCCCATACCACGTATTTGGCTACCATGATGATTGTGCTAGGTAATTAATTTTTTTTTAATGTGTTACAAACCAAATGAACAATAATTATTTTTAAAATTAAGTTAGTGGGTTACAATACATATATGTATAAATTATATTTTATTTATTTTTTAGTTATTTTTGTAAAGGCCTGAAAGAAAATGAGGTTAATCTAGTTCCTCAAATGCAAACTTCTGGATTATGGGCTGATATCTTAGGGGCCAGAAATATAGTTGCACATTATGTATCGAGCCTGATCTATAATGTCAATAACAATGTGGTTGAAGGTTTTAATAACGTGATTGTCAAGTACGTTGGTGGCAAAAGAATCAACTATTCTTTACGAGGTATAATTATTATAAAAACGTATCATATTGTAGGTAAATATTGTATTTTTTTAAATCTTAAATTATTATTTTAGGATCCTATAGTGCTAGGTGTCATACTGCAGTGACATCGTTTAATTTTGGATCTAACTACATTAGTCACTTACATAAAAAAATGACTAATTTAAGTCCTGGTATAATTACAAAAAAATATATTAAAAAAGTTGATAAAATGTGCGAATTATCAAGAAGACGACGTTTAAATTTTAAAAAATCGACGTAATTTAATTGATATATTTTTAAAAATAAATATCAAACTACAACCACTTAATATTATTTATAGTTTTACAATGAACAAGCGTAAATTATTTTCTGGACCCGATGATGATTATGGAGCTGTGGAAATGGGTTGCGAAATAATTGATATGCCTTTTGATGAGTATCAAAATAAAAAGGAACTATTTTTGAAAAAAATAACATTAAAATCTGAAGAGATAGTAGCGATTGAACGAAGTACAATTGGACAGCAAGATAATGATATGTGGCAACAATATAGAAAGTATCGACTAACGGCGTCCAACTTTGGAAAGGTTTGTAAGCTTCGACCAACAACTTCCCGTGCAAATACTGTAAAGCATATTTTGTACGATATTTTTCAAGGAAGTTCAGCTACGAGGTAAGCTAAAGTTTTTTAATAATTGAGACGTAGTTACTAAATATTATTTATTGATTTATTTTAATTTATAACTATAATTTGTTACTATGTTATAAATTAGTATGCATTATATTTAAATATTATTTCGTTTATATAGGTATGGAATCGAAAATGAGTCAATTACCAGAAACGCCGTTCAAGAAACTTTAGGAATAACTATACAGTTAGCAGGTTTATTTATTCATAAATCTCTACATTATTTGGCTGCGAGTCCGGACGGGTTAATAAACGAAGACTCGATAATGGAAATAAAATGTCCGTCGAGTATAAAAGAATACACACCACAGGAAGCGGTTACTCTCGAAAAATTAAAGTATATGACCGATTATAAGGGGAAGCTTGTTATAAAAAAAACGGACAATTATTATTTTCAAGTACAAGGCCAACTTAATATTGCCGAAAAAAAATATTGTTATTTTGTTGTATGGAGCCCCAAAGGTAATCAAATTATTATATACCTAGTCGTTATTAATCGTTTTTAAATGTTTATGATTTTGGCAGGTTTTGTGATAGATAAAATATTTAGAGATGAATCATTTTGGAATACAAAAATTGAACTTTTTGTTACTCGATTTTATATGGAGTCATTACTTCCAGAAATAATCGATTCTAGGTTTGATCGAGGATTATCAATAAGACCAGGCATTCCCGAAAAAATTGTTTAATTCTGTCACCTTTAGTTTTTTATTTCATTTCTTATACATCTTGATTTTTTGTATATTTATTTATGTTTTGCAATACAAGAAATTTAAACAAGCAAAAATTGCACACTTCTTATAAGCTAAAAGCTTGTGTTGGAATTAATTAATAATTAGATGTTATAAATATTCGTTCTAAAAATTTTTTTTATAAAATTCGTAGTCAGTATTACTATTGATTTATTTTTAACTATAACTATTTATGAATGAATTACTTGTGATTTTTATTTTATGCAATTATGTAGCAGGCCGTTGACCTAATATGGGTCACACACGCATACTACTCTAATTACGCTTAATGACTTTTGTTATTGTATTATTAGATAAAGTTAGTTGACTAAAACCGGTTTTGGATATTGTGATGAATATTGCACCGTTGTTGAATATGCGGGTAGTAGGGAGGCACGGACACTCACACAAATGAGCATTTACTACTCGTACAACAGCAGTAAGCGACTTCAACTGTTAAACTAAATGCCTATCGTTTACTCCTTAAGCCGCGTACACACGAGCGCGCCGAACCTGTAATGCAACGTTGCACGCGCGGCGCGCTCGTTCGTGTGGACAGTATTTGAAACACGCGCGCGATGTTACTGCAACCGCGCGGAGAGAACCAATTTTTGTCGGTTTTTCCGACGAACACAAAGGAAATGTTCGGCGCAGTGTGGACGTGTTTATATTATTTTTATCATCGTTGAAACGCGCATACCGCTTTGACACTAGTACACTGTCGTAACCTATTTATTACTAGTACTTGTAAGTTTTTTATTGTAATTTGTACTTGTAATTACTTGTAATTTTTTGTCAATAATATTTCAAAAGTTGAAGAACTCATTCGAGTAAAATTTTTATATTGCCCACTGATTTCTTGAAATTTTAAATCCATTAAAAGTTCATTTCCACTACGTTTTTTAAATAACTCAGTGTGCCACCATCTTCGTTTGCGACCCCTTTCTTTTGGTACAGCACTTCCCAAAACAACTATTGCTGCACTACAAACTAGTAAAGCTTCTTCAGCCTCCATTTTTTATATTCAAATAATTAAATTTAAAATTACTTAATTAAAACGACTATGGTCAGTTACGGTACGACTCCGAACGTCTGAACTATGCGTGAAAATGTTCGCGGGAAACTGCGCTCGTTGACAGTGGATCGTTTGCGCAGCGCGTGTTTGTTGTGAATAAAAAATTATTTCGCGCCGCGCGTGCAACGTTGCATTACAGGTTCGGCGCGCTCGTATGTACGCGGCTTTAGAAACGGAGCACTTCCAATCCCCTTAATGTTAGTTTTTTAATTCTGTTATACTACGTGAACGAGAAAAGGTAAAACCAAATAAAATTCACTTTATCAGTTAATTACGACTTATTGCCTAACGATAAGTAGCGGCGTCCCGCGTCTGAACTCTTCTTGATTAGAACGCGGCACGTGTCAAGGTCAACACTTAAGGTCTATTCACACTACAACGGAACGGAGACGGGACGGAACCCGTCCGGTCATGTAACAAATATTGTTTCTATATTTTTAAATGTAAGCGTTCATATTTATCCGGAACGGTGCAACGGCCCGGGGACGGGCGATAAAAATATTCTTTGCGACTATTCTTGAACGGGTTTCCGTCCGGATTTTCCGTCAAATCGTATGAGAATCGGCATTTGGTGGACCGCATGTAGTCAAAAACATATTATTTGTTCATATAATCACAATTTTATTTTCAGCGTTGAACGTACAAGGTACTTACAGGCTACAACCAGTGTACATATTTTATATTATTTAAATTTTAATTAAATTAAATTATGAATATTAATTGTTTATTAATTATATTTATATTTATAATTATTTAATACATAATTATTAAGTTACATTATGGATAAGGAAAAGTCATATTGATTTTACGTTATCTATTTAATCTAGCCCTGTCCGTTCCGTTTAGTGTGAACGCAACAGAACGGGTGACCCGGACGGATGAAATTCTGGCACGGTTCCGTCCCGTCTCCGTTCCGTTGTAGTGTGAATAGACCTTTAAGCTGCTTCTAGCGAAGGTGTAATTTAATTGGCCTATCTACATTTTTAAAGGCGTCTCATTTTAATTAAATTTGATTATTTGCTTATTAGTTAAACTAGTCGTTTAACGCAATGGCCCAAAGTAATGATCTACTTTCTATTGAGCTGAATAAGTGGACAAAAAGCATGCTAGTTGACTTCATTATTACTCATTCACTACCTGCAGGTGTGAAATTAAGTGAGGAATTGTCAACATTCTTAAAAGGATCTTCTTCTAACCCTAATTCGCTATCTTCTGAGAACTCATTAAATGTGGCCACTATTCTTCAATCCGTTGTCGATGAGCTCAAATCTGTAGCACTTAGTAACTCTAAGGTACATGATAAGCTAAACCGTCTCAATATGACTGCTAAGGTTACCACTTCTCCTAATTTGAATACTGGTTCAAACAATCTACCAACTGCTTCACTCTCCAAGTTGAATACGGATACTCATTCTAGACAGCCTGCAATCCAATCGACTATTAGTCTATCCTCGTTCATAAAATTAAAATTTATCGTTGGCTCTCATAAAAGTGTATCCTCCAAGTTGTCATCAGTTCCGGTGCGGAGGCATACTGATATCTTTGTATCAAGACTTGAGCCATGTGTAACGACCACTATGCTTAAATCTGAATTATTCAATAGCTACTCAGATGTGACCATAAATAAATTAGTGACAAAACACCCATCATATTCTTCATTCCATGTACGCCTGCCTGCGAAGAAGCTTGATGATGTCCTCGAACCTTCATTCTGGCCTGATGGCGTAATGGTCAAACGCTTTTGGGGTCGTCTTACGCCGGAGATGATTCTAAGCGACACTCCAAAAAACTAATTTCTTCATGTACACCTACCTGTGATCCTCTTGTTGATATACACGCTTATAATTATAATAATAAGGATTATTGTTTATGTAGTGATTTATGTACTTGTAACCATATTCTCTTAGGTTTTTATCAAAATTGACGTGGTTTAAGAACCAAACTAAGTATTTTAAAATGCAATGTCGCTGTTTTTGACTATGTTTTTATCTGTATCACTGAAACATGGCTATGTGACAGCTTCTATGACAGTGAACTTGGTCTATCCAACTATATCATTTATAGATGTGATAGAAATAGTTTAACAAGTAATTTTTCTAGAGATGGTGGCGCTCTCATTGCCATTCGTAGTGACATAGTATCTAATTTAATTTACATTCCAGCTACTAATGTTGAACATCTATTTGTTAAACTTAGTTTTAATAACATCAACTATGTAGTGTGTTCAGTGTACTTTCCTCCCAATTGCCCGTTTTCTGCTTACGAGTCTTTTATTTCCGCTGTACAATCTGTTCTTCTCCTGCATCCAGAATGTGTATTCATTTTTTGTGGGGACTTCAATTTGCCAGATATTATGTGGTCCAACGATGATTTTGGTTTACTTTACAATACGGTTTCTAATCCCAGAGTTCAATGTATCCCCGATGCTTTTGCGTTCTTTAATTTTTTCCAACTAAATGATATTCAAAACTCTTTTGGTGTTGTCTTGGACCTTGTGTTCTCCAATGACAACAGTATCTATATATCTAAAGCCGTAACTTCAGCAGTACCTTGTGATCCTTACCACCCGGCTCTCGATATTTTGATAAAGTTGGACAAACTCTCCCCTTTACTTGATCGCTCCCATGATTATTATGACTTCCGCCGTGCTCCCTATTCAAAAATATGCGAATTCCTAAATTGATTTAATTGGTTGGAGATCATATTATCTCTCGACGTTGATGAAGCTGCTAAGGCAATTTATGACACCTTGCACTTTTGTATTTTAAACTTTGTTCCGAAAGTGTCTTATATACCCTCGACATTCCCGAAATGGTTTTCAAAAAATCTTAAGCATATTGTTTTAAGCAAGAAAAGAGCACATGCCAAGTTTAAAGCTTCACGCTGTCCCCTTGATTATGCACTTGAATTTTCTGCACTTCGTGCCTCTTACAAAACAGAATACAAGAGATGCCATACTGTCTTCTTGTCTGGCACTGAGTCTATGCTAAAGTCTAATCCCAGGTCGTTTTGGGACTTTGTCCGAGTTAATAAATCTAACAACGAAATTCCCCATTCAGTACATTTTGAGAATTTACAGAGCTCGGGTACAGAGTCTGTCTCTAACTTATTTTCCCATTACTTCAATACAGTCTTATGTTCCTCCTTTGTCTAATGACCATTCGTCTCCTTTTTTGTTCCATGACCTACCTAGCTCTTGCTCATTCAACATCGATGATGTTGACGCTGGTCTAGACGCACTAAAAAATATTATGTCCGTAGGCCCCGACGGCTTGTCAGGTGTATTCTTATACAATGTGAAATCTTCATTATGTTTTCCACTGTGGCTACTTTTTAAGCGTTCAATCGATAACGGAGTTTTCCCCTCTTCTTTCAAGATTAGCTCTGTCGCTCCTATTTTTAAATTTGGTGATGAGGCTGATGTCAAAAATTATAGACCTGTCTCTATTTTGAGCCACATACCAAACTGTTTGAACTTCTGTCTCGACCACTACTAATTTATTCGTTTTTAACAACTTTGTTTTGAAGGCTGTTGAAAAGCACATCCAAGTTGATGTTATTTTCACAGACTTTACTAAAGCCTTCGATAAAGTCGACCATGGCCGCCTAATCGAGATCCTATACAAAACTGGGTTCGGTGAACTATTGTTGTCTTGGTTCAAATCTTATTTGTCAGACAGAGTCCAGTGTGTAAAAGTGTTCGGATGCAAATCATCCATCTCAAAGATCTCTTCTGGAGTTCCACAAGGAGGACATTTATCTCCAATATTGTTTTCTTTGTATGTAAATGGCATCAAGGAAATTGTCAAAAACTATGAACTACTCATGTTTGCCGACGAATTGAAGCTCTTTAAGAAAATTGAAAACTTATCGGACTGCTCTACGCTCCAAAATGATCTCAACAAGCTGGTCTCGTGGTTTAATAATATTGGTCTTCAGTTTAATGTAAATAAATGTCATTTTTAAGATACCGCTTTCCTATTAACTATACTTACTCCATCAATGGTTCAAGTGTATCATCGGTATTTAGTAAGAAAGACTTAGGTATAATCTTTAATTACGATCTCAACTTTCACTCCCATACTGAAATGATATGCTGCAAAGCCTTAAAAACGCTTGGGTTTGTAATGCGCATACTGCTCATTGGTCCGTTCACTATTAGAGTATTCATCGGTCCTATGGGACCCTTATACGGTATCTAACTCCTATCAACTAGAACGTGTGCAGAGACGGTTCTTATCTTGCGTTGCTTTTGTCTTAAAAATAAATCATCCTCCCCACGACTATTTCTTAGTTATGCAGGAACTCAGCCTCATTTCACTGGCTGACAGGCGAGTTAACGCTAACATAGAGTTTCTGAATAAACTGGTTGATGGTCGTATAGATGCTCTCTCACTTCTCTCGTTAGTCAATTTCAAAGTTCCTTCCCGTACTACTAGATATCATGCTCCTTTCGTTGTTCCTGCGCACACTACCAACTATGGCAGAAATAATCCGTTAGAACGCATGATGCGGCTGGCCAATGAGAGCACCGTTCATCAAAACTGATATATTTATTATTATATATATTTATATTTGTTTTATAATCATTACTATACTTATTATTCCGTAATTATTATCTTATAAATTTAATTGTGTCTTTGTATTAATTATTTAAATTATATACTATTGTATTATGTTAAACTGTTGTAAAGGGCCCAGCCCGTTAACAAACAAATAAATAAATAAATAAATAAACGGCTGTCAAATATGACTTGTCAGTGTGACTAATCCAACTTTGTATAAAATTTCACGAGATTGTTATTTTTGTCATTTATATAATGGTGAAGGAATTTTAATTTTATTTAATTCTTGTTCAACTTTGCCTTTTTCCAACTATTTTGGGTTTGCCACCCTTGTCTAAACCTCCACTTATCTTAATTTTAAACATTTCTTACACACACATTAATGGCCCTCATATCATTCTCAATTGTATCCACCATCTCTTTTTTGGTCTTTCTTTTCCTTTTCTGAATTTATATTTATATAAATTAAATACAAACCAATTTGTTAAATTTGTTTTAAAAACAAAATTAAAAATATAAATATTTAAATAAAATTTAAAAAATATATTTACTGAATTTATATTTCAAACACATTTTTGGTATTAATAAATACAAAGACGATAAAATCGTCTTGTGTTTGGAAAACCGTTCTTTAAGTTGACTAATAAAATTATCATAGAATGGAATTGCAATTGCAATACGAAAATAGTCTTCAGGAATTTTGGTATCCACATTTATTCTATTTGTTGAACGACTTACTGACCTTGGTATTTTTATTTTTTCTTCCTCGTTCACGGATATGAACAATTGTTCTGATTTATTGAATATTTCTTTGAAATTTTCATTAATATTTGTTCGCATATCTTTCACTTCACTTCAACATGATCTACTGCTTCACTTAAATCACATTTCACCGACTGCAATATTTTACATAATGGCAAAGTTATAGAAAAAAAGTGTGGTCGCAGTTATCATACTTATTATAAATTCACTAGTTGTTACACACTTATATAACTGTAAAGCTTTACAATATATAAAGGTTTATATATTTCTGAAAATCTAAGCATACCATCATGATTTTCAACCCACCTAGTCTCACACATGGAAGTTAATTTTGTCCATTTAGTTTCAGGAAGAAATTCTTTTATTTTATTTTTTAATAATTCAGTTCATTTAGCCGATATTTTAATAAAATTTCCTACAGATTTTATTGTTCCAATACAATTTCGAATATGGTGAATGTTTGACGAATGAGTAAGTGCTAAATTTAACGAATGTGCACTACAGTGGACATAAAGTGCAGCGGGATGTACTTCTCTTATAACAGACTGTACTCCTTTAAAATTACCACTCATGGCTGTGGCGTCATCATAGCCTTGGCCAAGTAAATAGTCACATTTTATACCAAGATTTTTTAAAGTAACTAGAATTACTGTGGCCAAATTTTGACCAGTGGTATAATTTACCGGTACAAATTGTAAGAAGTCTTCTTTCAATACATAATTGTTGATTTCATTTTTTTTAATATTTAAATTATTTTCTAAATAACGTACACACAATGACAGCTGTTCAACACGCGATACGTCAGTAGTTAACTCGTCGACTAATACAGAAAAACATTTTGCCTGATTAATTTTGTTAACTAACTGGTCCTGTATAATTTTTCCACATATATTTATAAAATTATTTTTAATCATAGGACTTATATATGAAGCATTTAACGCTTGATTTTCAATGTGATATGTTAGATTTTTATCTTTACACGAAATGCGCATTCTCAATAATGCTTGGAAGTTATTGTATTATAATAATCATTGTAAGTAGGTTCAGAATTGTCTAAAGAGAGAGGTCCGTAATCGCTGGTACCGCGTAAAGCTATTTCTTCCCGCCCACAAATAATAATTGTTTGAATAATAGGAATTAATCTCTTTCTATTTTGATCAATTTGAATAGCATGCGCTGAATCTATTTTTTGAATAATATTTTGACGGTTTTGGAATAAACAGCTACAAAATTATCTGCGCGCATAGCATTTGATTTGTGAAATTCAGTTTTACTATGTTCATTAAATTTCTCAATCGCTTTTTTCCAGTTATTAAAAGGTTTTACAACTAATGTATTAAGTTTCTGGTGACTGCCTTTGCCACCAAATTCGCCACCAAATATAGCACAATATTTACAAACTGCACCTTGTTCACCAATTCTCGAATAAACAACACAAGGAAAACGCTTAATCCATCCCAATTGAAACTTTAAATTTTTTTTTAGATTTTTAGTTATTGGAAATTTGTAATTTTCATCTGGTGACAAATGATCAGTTAATAATTTAAATTTTATTTCATCACATACATTTTTACCGAAACAGTAGCCAATATCGTTTTCTTCAACTATTTGCTCCGTGTCCGATTTTAATATATTATTTTCGTTTGTTTGCAAATATGTGGGTGAATGACTAAATGATGGCTCAAGCGTGTGTAGTAAACCCAAGGAAACACGTAGTACATTTATTACTCATTGTCTTATTTACTCAATAATAAATGATGCTCACGTACAAATTACGTTGAGCAATTCTTATAACAGTTTTCCTTATTCAAGTGCACGTAGCCCAAATATGACATTGAAAGTACACATAAATATAGGTGCTTTATACATGTTAAGATTAGACTTAAGTTATTACTCTAAGTGCTCAGTACAGACACACGAACTCCTTTTTTTTTTTTTTTTTTACTTTTTTTTTTTATTAAGAAAGACAATTTACAATCTGTATACAATAATAATAGTAAGCAAATTTGATATATTTACATAGAATAAAGTAGCATGAATATCGTGTTGAGGAAGAAACCCAATGGTAACACCTCCAATACTAATTTAATAGGTCTCTACACCATTTAAGCTTTAGTCTGCGTGGTGGGTTTTTTGGGAGGGTGATGGTGGACATGTTTGATATTAGAGTATTGCTATGTGTGTTTAGATTTTGGTGGAAACGTTTGTACATGTTTTTTGCTAGTTCAGTGGTAGTTGTTATTTTTAAATCATTATGTAAGGATAAGTTTGAAACGTACCATGGGGCTTTGGTTATTAGCCGAAGTGCAATTGATTGAAAAGCCTGAATTGGCCTAATGTTTGAGGGCATGGCAGGACCCCAGATTGCTATTCCATAAGACCAGACTGGTCTTATAATTGACTTATATATAATAAGTTTGTTTTGGAGTGGTATTTTGGAGTTGAGGAGTGGTCGGAGGAGATGAAGTCTATTGTTCGCTGCTTTTCTTTTTTCTTTTAGGTGGGGACCCCAAGTCAGTCGTTTATCAAGTGTTATGCCTAAGTACTTTATTTCATTTCGGACAGGGATGAGAACGTTATTCATGAATAATTGAGGGCACTCACGGGGAGATTTTTTTAACGTGAAAGTAACTTGCACAGATTTATCTGTATTTATTTTAATTTTCCATTTTTTGGCCCATTCGTCGATTTTATTTCCATGATCCTGAAGTGCAGTTGAAACTAGGTTAGGATTTGAACTGGAGGAAAGAATAGCGGTGTCATCAGCGTATGTTGCAAGAAGGGTGTTATTAGATTGGGGGATGTCAGCTGTAAATATATTATATAGATCAGGGGATAAATCACTACCCTGAGGGACTCCAGCGTATATTGAGTGAGTAGATGAGATATCGTTACCCTGTCGTACGACAAATGAACGATTTTGTAGATAAGATTTAATAATAAGATAGTAAGGAGCTGGCATGAAGAGTTTTAATTTGTATAATAGGCCGTCGTGCCAGACTTTATCGAATGCTTGGGCAATATCTAAAAAAAGTCCGGAGCAGTATTCTTTGTTTTCGAGAGCAGTTGAAATTTCGTCAGTAAGACGATGAACTTGATGAATTGTTGAATGTCTATTTCGAAATCCAAACTGATTGTTTGGTATGATTTGGTTTTTTTGAAGGATGGGACGTATTCTTTTGAAGAGAGCTTTTTCGAAAAGTTTACCAAGAACTGGAAGTAAACTTATGGGACAGTATGATGAAGATAAATGTTTAGGTTTATTTGGTTTAGGTATAAGTATAATGACAGAAAATTTCCAGATATTTGGGAAGTGAGACAATCATAGCATGGAGTTATATATGTAGGTGAGCAATGTTAGAGTTTTGAGAGAGAGATTTTTTACGATTTTGTTTGTAATGAGATCATTTCCGGGTGCCTTACCGGGAGGTAATTTTTTAATTAAAGACTGAATTTCTCCAGGGGAAATGGGTTTTGCAGGTAGCGACATAGGTAATGGAGCTGATAAAAATAGTTGAATTTCGACTAATGAATCGTTTTCGGGAATGGTGCAAGAATGGGATTGAAATGTTTCGGCTAATTGAGAAGCAAAAATGTTTGCTTTGTCTTTATCGGTAATTGCTAGTAGACCGTTTTCTTGTCGGAGAGGTGGGATTTTTTCTCTATGCCTGGTGAGCCTTTTGGTTGCTTTTCAAAGAGAGCCGTTATTTGGTTGCAAAGATTTTATATGATATATAATTGAAACTGTTCAGATTTATGCATATGAAGTTTATATTTTAAAAGATTTGTTAAAAAATTAAAATTTTTTTTATGACTAGGCAATCTTGAATTTTGCCATTTTGCTCGAGCACGACGTTTATTTATTATTAGCTGTTTTATGTCGGCAGGTAGGCTTTTGGAAGAATTTATGATGTGAGGGTTAATAGGTGATGTGGCTTTAATGGCTGCTTGTTGGATTTTTTGAACGATATCTTTTGCAGCATTGTCTACGTCAGAATGGGATTTCAGTGCTACTTTTAGATTAATATTTTGGTCCAAATTTAATTTGAATTTGTCCCAGTCAATAGGTCCATTAGTTATAGAAGATCTTGAGTTTAATAACACGTCACCAGTTATAGATAAAAGTATGGGAGAGTGGTCACTTGATAGATCACAGATATTTTCAATGTTGGTATTTATATGATTGGGTATTTTGGAAATAAAGAAATCAAGAGTTTCGGGCAATCTATTCACATGAGTTGGCCAGTATGTAGGGTTCGGTGGGGAAATAAATGATAGGTGGTTTTTGATTAAGGATATGTGGAGAGTAGAACCCCTTTGGTTGGACGCTCTGCTTCCCCAAAGAGTGTGTTTGGAGTTGAAGTCACCACCCGCTAAGAATGAATGGCCTAGTAGTTGAAAAAACCTATTGAAGTCCTCGAAGTCAATTTTATAACGGGGTGGGCAGTAGACAGAGGCAATTTTTATTGGTACATTTTTAATTTGTATGGAAATAATTGTTGCTTGTATATGAGGTTCTTGAAAGCCTAGTAGTTCGTGGTGTTGTATATCAGAAGAAATAAGTATTGCGGTTAGGTTAGGCAGAATCGTCAGGATGGTCAGTTTTGTATAAGGAGTAACCGGGAATGTTAAAGTTTGTTTTTTGTGTGAAATGAGTTTCGATAATGAGGGCTATGTGAATTTTTTTTTCATAGAGTAAATTTTGCAATTCATTTTTGTGTTGGGATACACCATTTGCGTTCCACAGAAGTATTGTTAGTTTAGAAGCGGTTTTATGAATGTTAATCATTTTTTAGGAGAACTTTGTTTATTACTGTAGTAAGAAGTGTGATTAGTGGGTTTATAATAGATTTAAGCTCACTTATAAATGAGCTTAGTTGATTCGTTAAATTTAAATCATTATTGTTTTGTTGAGGTTGATTATTAGTATGTAGATTTTGAGTGACTTTGGAATAAGTTTTGCGTGTATTATTTGGTTTATTTGGGTTTTCATAATTAGAAGTATTACCAGTGGGTTCTTGTACATTATTTTTAAAATTTGTATTATTATGACTAGTCTTCGCTTTTGTTGTAAGAAAGGATTTGCGTTTGGATTGAATGTCTTGGTAAAAGGGACAGCCACGGTAACTGGCAGGATGCTGGCCTTCACAGAGAACACATTTGGGTGGATGATCAATTGGTTTTTGACAATTTTCAGTCAAATGAGAATCACTGCATTTAACACAGCGTGGTTGGTGATTGCAATATATTTTCGTGTGACCGAAATTTTGGCAATGTTGGCATTGTATTAGATGTTGACGGGGACGAGGTTCTTCCACTCTAATTTTTGTAAAACAGATAGTAGATAACTTGAAAATTTCGGAGTTGTGTTGGTCAGGTTTCAGATCGACAAAGAAAAGAGGAAGTGGCTTTTTTGTTTGCCATTGAAGAACATTGATTACTTGGACTGCTGTATAACCATGCACTTTAAGTTCATCTTTTATGTAATTTATATCAGTAGTGTGGTGCAATTACGGATAACCACACGGAATGGTTTTTCTTGTTGAAGTTGATAAGTATGAAAATTAACGTTTTTTTCTTTTAATAAGTGTATTACATTTCTGTACCCGTCAGGAGTGAATGTTTGAAGTTTTAATTCATTTAGATTACTTTTGCAGTTAAAATCATTAGAACCAATTGCGGTTTTTATCGCGTTACAAAAACCATTATAATTTAAACTTGATTTAATAAATATGGGAAGTGGAACATGGTTTTCGGTTTCGGATAAATTAATATTTGGTTGATCAGTTTCCATACTATTCTTATCGTCATCAAGAGGTTTTAGCACGGTATAATTATTTAGTGGTTTGAGATGGGTTGCGGCTGATTGATTTTGTTTGGGAGATAAGCTAGTAGAGGTTTTTTGTTTTTTGTATACATTTGGTGATTTGGATTCGACTGTTATCCAGTCGGTGTCGTAATTATTTCCGTCATTTGCGTTATCGTATTGGGA